GAGGACAGTCTTCTTTGTCCCGTCTGTCTGAGTGTGTTCACTAAACCTGTGTCGATTCCCTGTGGACACAACTTCTGTTTGGACTGTATCACAAAGTACTGGAGCTATCAGTCTGTACTCCAATGTCCGCTGTGCAAAGAGACGTTTTACACCAGGCCATTGCTTCGGGTTAACCCTGTCATTGCTGAAATGGCTGAAAAGTTAAAAAAATCTCATGAAATGAGTTCAGCTGAAGAAACAAGAAATGAAGGCGTGCTCTGCAGCATGTGTGCAGGGTCAAAGGTCAGAGCCCTGAAGTCCTGTTTAACGTGTTTACTGTCCTACTGTCAAACACATCTGGAGCCTCATCAGAGGATTTTGACTTTGAAGAAACACAAGCTGATCGATCCAGTTAAGAACCTGGAGAGCAGAATATGTCAGGATCACGGTGAACCTTTGGAGCTGATCTGCAGACTGGATCAAGTGTTTCTGTGTCAGTCCTGTAAATGCAGTGACCATAAAACACATGAAACAGTGAGTCTGGAGGACGAGGCTGAAATGAGGAAAACCCAGCTGAGATCAGAAAATAACAGCATGGATCAGATGATCCAGGAGCGTGAGCAGAAAATCCAGGAGCTCCACCAGTCAGTGAAGACCAGCAGAAGAAAAGCTGAGGAGGCGTTATCGTGCAGCAGGAAGGTGATGACCGCTTTGGTGCAGCACATAAAGACAGAGTTCACCAGACTGTCTGAGGCGATCGAGACGAAGCAGAAAATAAATGAGACGGAGGCAGAAAGCTTTATTGATGAGCTGCAGGGAGAGATTACACACATGAAGAAGAAGAAGCTGCAGCTTCATGAAGCTTCGCTCATCACAGACCCCTTCAGCTTCCTGGAGAACGTCCTCCCTCTTACCTACAATAAACCCCAGCTGCAGGACTGGTCTGCTGTGACTGTAACCAGTGACCAGTTTATGATTCAGGAGACCCTGGCCGAGCTGGAGACAAAAGTCAGAGAAGAAGTCAGCACGCTTTGTGATATAAACTTCAGAGATGGGAAAGAACAAAGGTATGATCTGAATGTTTCAATGGCTTGGTCCAGATATGGGTTCTCCTTGAAACACGGCGAGGTCACTCAATCAAAATCAGTCAGTGTCTCCAACTCGACACCCCTTTTTGTACATGCACTTCTGTTTGTTCAGTAAAAATAAAGAATAGTTTAGTCTGGGTGGATTTCTAGGCGCAGCCAAGTGGCAGAGGGCTTTCGGTCCGCCGTGGTGAAGAGCTGAGCGTAAAAGTGAAGCTCTCAGTTTACCGGTCGATCTACGTCCCTACCCTCACCTATGGTCACGAGCTATGGGTAGTGACTGAAAGAACGAGATCAAGGATACGAGTGGCGGAAATGAGCTTCCTCCGAAGGGTGGCTGGCCTCTCCCTTAGAGATAGGGTGAGAAGTTCAGCGATCTGGGAGGGGCTCAGAGTCGAGCTGCTGCTGCTTCACATTGAAAGGAGCCAGTTGAGGTGTTTCAGGCATCTGATAAGGATGCCTCCTGGGGCCTCCTCCTGGGTCAGGTGTTCCAGGCATGTCCCACCGGGAGGAGGCCCCGGGGCAGACCCAGGACACGCTGGAGAGATTATATCTCTCGGCTGGCCTGGGAACGCCTTGGTGTTCCTCCGGACAAGCTGGAGGAGGTGGCTGGGGAAGTCTGGGCTTCTCTGCTTAGGCTGCTTCATACAACTTTCCTCTTTCACCCATTTATACAAGCACCTTGTTGTTTTTGTTCCCTAAGTGCTCACTCTGATTGTAACATCGGAGAGCAACCTGGGGTTCAGCATCTTGCCCGAGGATACTTTTGGAAGTCCAAATACTTCTCAGAATTATAACACATCAATTACGATGATGATGATAGTAATGATGATAATCATCATGGTGAGGAGGAGGAATAGAGTCAAATCCAAGTGCAACAAGGACAGTTTCTCCTTGGTGCTGCTGCTGAAATTTCCAAGGGTGAACTTCTGCAATCCTTTGAACCTCTCTCTCTTACAGTCACTGTTCTGTGAGTGTCAGTTTGACATACCTCAGAGGTGCTCTGATTCCTCTATCCTCTCCATCTCATCATCTCCAGTTTTTGAACCTTCTCTGTGTCTCCTCTCTCCTTCATCTTCCCAATCAGGAAGTCCAAGATGACAATAGTGGATGCTGAATCAGCTTTCAGAGCGATCTGCTCCAGTCCGACTACATGCTGGTAGGACTCATCCAGAAACTGTGACTTCTCTGCTGTCAGCAGTTTCATTTCCTTTCCAAGTAAATCAACATCCTTCTCTTTTGTTGGTGGTTTGTTCTTCTGACCGCTCCTTATCCTGGTCACATGTCTCCACTTTCCTTTCACATGCACTGATGCAGGACACTTGTTGGTACATGATGTGCAGAGACCATCTCTAAAGACCTCACACTGATTTAAGAGCACCGTGCATCCAGGATAGTAACAGTTCTCCTCACAGACTGTGGAGCTGACAGCTGCTTTCAAACCCGGCCCACACATCTCTTCTCTGATAATTTCTTTATGTTTAAAAACTTCAGCAACAAATGGAGTGACCTCTTCATTCTTCATGTTGCCATGTTTCTCCAGAGCTTCCTGACTCTGTTTCATCTCTCTCTGTTTCACTTCAGTGAATTTGATTCTTTCTTGCAGGTTTTGGATGCAGGCTGTCAGTCTGATACTTTCCTTTAACACTTTAAATGCTGCCTCTGGCTTTAGAGGTGTAGTTTCCTTCAGGAAGGCTGTGAACTCTCTCATTCCACTCCTTGAGCTTTCAAAATTTAGTTTCAGGTATTTTTCTTGCTCGTCTTCAAGCTGGCAGTTATTAAACAGGAAGTGAACAGACTGATTCTTCTCATCTTTGGCAGATTTAATTTTTGAATCTTCAAGAGCTTGAAGAGCATATTTAGGGTTTCTTCCATCTGAGTGTGTGATGAGAGCTACAATGTTTTTCTCCACATTCAAAGATAAAGTGATATTCAAACATGGATTTATTACCCAAAGTTTGATTCTGTTCATCTGGACGTAGTGTTTTCAGTGGGAGAAACGTTTCGTCATCATCCAGGTGACACTCTACACAGCAACGAATCAGAAACACAGGTTCTTTGTTGGATGGTGGAGGTTAGGAGAGAGGGGCCAGGTGGCTGTCATCCGGTAGTTAAGTACTGGTGGTGATTAGCCAATTATCCAATCCAAGGACAGGAAGAGACTCCACCCAGCTACTCAGCAGGCACGCCCAGGTGTCCACCTCCTAAGGGAGAAAGGGAAAAGACCCAGAGCCATCCTCTGGTGGGAGGAGTCACACATAAAACAAACTAGGCTAGCAATAAGGCTTCCTTTTCAATTGTGCTGTAATGTAATTGGTGTGTTGGGAATTTTTTGGAAAAGAAACAGACTGGAATGCCATTTTCATCCTCCTGCACCAGCCCCCAAAGCACTGGCGTCCACCTCAAGCTTGAACTGATGTGTGAAATCAGGGGCGGCCAGCACAGGAGCACTGCAAAGGAGAGCTTTGGCAGCTTCGAAAGCAAACTGACATGTCTCTGACCACATGAATGGTGATTTTGGACTGGCAAGACTGGTTAATGGGGCTACTACCTCGGAGAAGTTTTTGCAGAACCCACGATAATAACCTGCCATGCCTAGAAAACGCCGCAGCTCCCGACGCGTCTGCGGAGCTGGGAAGTTTAATATTGCCTGCACTTTCACAGCAACAGGGAGGACTTGACCCTGTCCTACTTGTTTCCCTAGGTCGGTTACAACAGCCTTTCCAAACTCACACTTAGCCAAGTTCAGTGTCAGAGAGGCATCACGCAAACGGTCAAATATTTCACTGAGAGTTTTGAGGTGTTCAGTCCAGGTGGATGAATAGGCCACTATATCATCCAGATACACTTCGCAGTTTATGACTCCATGTAACACAGTGTTCATCAGTCGCTGCAATGTGGCGGGAGCATTTCTTAACCCGAGCGGCATGACGGTGTATAGCAAAAAATGGTCGGGTGTAACAAAGGCACTGATTTCTGATGCGCGTTTGGTTAATGGGACTTGCCAGTATCCTTTTAGCAGGTCAAGTTTGGTCACAAAGTTTGCCGAGCCCACACGATCGACCAGGTCATCCATGCGTAGGAGTGGAAAAGAGTCTGGTTTTGTAGCAGCGTTTACCTTTCGGTAATCGTTACAGAAACGGGAGGTTTGATCGGGTTTTTGGAACGAGCAATGATGGTGAGCTCCAAGAACTATTACTGGGAAGGGCAAAACCATGGTCAAGAAGATACTGGACTTCTTGCTGCATTATGGCACGCTTAGTGGGATTTACTCTGTAGGCATGTTGCGTTATTGGCTTGTGATCACCCACGTCAATATCATGACTTAGCACGTGCGTTTGAGTGGGGATATCACCAATAAGAGTTGGGTAATGGTTAATGAGCTTAATCAGATTTGGCAGGATCAGACAGATGTGCTAAATAGACATCCAAGTCAGCCAGACGTGCACCGGAAACAGAGCTGTGCCTGTCATCCAACCCATCATCGCAGGGACTATATAAGGGTTGAGAGACGGACACTGACACAATAGGTGGCACAGCAGGTGACGGACCGGAGGGAGAAGGGTAGCAGCAGCTATGGCTCACCCAGATGATGTCATGCCAATCCAATCAAAGGTTGAGGGAAAATAAAAGTCTAATAAAAAGAATCAGAGTGACCACTAATGCTTTGGGAGAGCAGACAGACAAAAATAAGAATCTAATTGGAAAAAAGAAAAAACAAAAAGGTTTAATTTTATGTGACCTTTGACCCTGAGCAGAAAAGGATCAGCTCAGGTTTCAGTGTTAAACAACAGGAACCTGTTCATAATGTTTACATGTTTACTGAAGACGTTCTGTGCTTTTCTGTGCAGGATCAGTTTGATCTCATCACCACATGAAGACATCATCTCAGACAGTTTTCTCATCAGGTCAGGACCTCCTGCTGTCTACCAGCTGAGAGCAAAGAAACAGAAGATTGGAACTCTGACAAGAATGACTGTTGGAGAAAAACGTCCAAACAAGCCGAACAGAACCATCTTACTGGTGGGAGAAACAGGAGCAGGAAAATATACTCTGATCAACGCTCTGCTCAACTACACCATGGGAGTGAAGTGGGAGGACGGAGTCTGGTTTATGATCACAGAGGAGGGGAGGATGATTCAAATAGAAGGACATATAGAAAGCCCGACATCAGATGTGATCGTGTATGAGATCTTTGGTTTTGAAGATAAAACTCTGCCCTACTCTCTGACCATCATCAATACTCCTGGATATGGAAACACCAGAGGGACTGAACATCATGACATCATCAGTCACAGATTATTGGACTTGTTTCAATCAGAGGATGGAGTCCATGAAGTTCATGCTGTGGGTCTGGTGATGAAGGCGAGTGA